AGCCAAGGAAGCTTTCTGGCCCCTTTCCCTCACATCAGGATCGTATCCCTCTGTGCCCAAAGGATCATTTCCTTAAGGCACAGCCACCCTTCCTGGGCTCCCATCTCGCCAAATCTCTTACTCTGCAGTGCGTCATAGACTAAACGCCTGAGTTTGCTGAAGTCAGCCTTCCTAAAGTCCAGCACTTTCACCCTACTAGTTACCTTACCCACTCGACGCCTTATGACTAATTCTGTTATTTGGTGGTCACTGTCCCCCAGGTGACCGCTGATCTGTAGGTCCCCTGCCATGTCATCCCCTGTTGCCAATACCAGGTCTAGTAAGGCATTCCCCCTGGTGGGACCTTGTACCTCCTGCGTCAGGTGGAGGTCCTGTACACAAGATAGGCACCTGTTGTTTCCCTCTTGGTCGCAACTGGCTCAGCAGTGTAGCTAGGGTGTGATGGGTACTGCCTTTGATTACAAAGCAAAACCAAAGTCCTGGCAGCTGGTTCTTGTTACAGATGTGAAGGCACTTTTGTAAGCAGGTTAACCCTGGGTTTTTGGCGAGATTCAAAACTGAGCGGTTATGTTTTGCCTCCCTTGCTTCCTCCTGTTCTTATTCCAGACTGCTGTGTTGTTGTGCGCTATCCAACACAGCGCCCTGGTCTGTCGCCCCGTGGCGCTCTTTCAGTCTGTAGGATGAAGCTAGTACTACACAGCTATGTGGTGAAGAGCTAAATTCACAATATTAGTTATTAATTATAAAAGATAGGATTCTCATTCAAAGCAATCCATGGTGAAGTTGAGTTGGACTGAAGCAGAAGTTAACTCTTTGTCTTTTGTTCTATGTACTCTTAGCACAGCGAGAGGGCTTTTTGGTTGGTTCCTAGTCACTGCTGTAATAAAAATGATAACTTAAAAATCAGATGAAAATGATAAATACCCACTGATATAGTTTGATCTTCGCATGTGTGAAGGCCAAACCTGGAAAATGCAAGGAAGTTACTGAAATGTGTTCTTAGGGACGGCCTTGTGAATAAGCCAGTATCAGAAATGCAGTTGTTAACTGTGAAATTTGAAGTTTCGTTCTTTTCTACATTTAAAAATGGATTAAATTATTTGGCAAGATTTTTAAGTCTCAATAGGGAGCTTTTCATAGAAAAACTTTTTCAGTTTGTATTAGGGAAATGATGAAGTGGAAACAAGTTAGACTTTTCTTACTGAAGCTCATCTTCCTTTTGTCCAGTCTGTGGTGAGATCTAAACTTGAATACCACTGCTTTTAAACCCAGAGTCATATCATACCTCATTCTGCACAGTGAATTCTGATTTTTATGTTGTTTAGTGCTAACCCTTAAAAGCTGATGAACTGCATGTTGAAGATTATTGTACAGGTGTCATTTTCCTTAATGCAGTTGTGTTCTGAAAGCAGACTGTAAATACTACATCACTGCTGTTTCACAGTGAGGTTGACATTACATCTGTCTGGTGTTGAAGTGGGAAGAGGTTAGAATAAGAAAATGCTAGTCGAAGAGTGAGGGTTTCAGAGCAGAACTGCGTTTCGTCTTGCCCATGCAAAACCAACATCCACATAGTGAATAAGTGCAGAATAAGTTCACACACTTTTCTGACTATGCCACATGCCTAGATATTAAGTGAGACACGTAAATACAGAGATTGGCTTGTTTTTTGAAGCCCTTACTAACACTTTCCCCCCCCCTTTTTTTGCCCTAACTGCAGGTTAGGGATAACGATCCCTGGGTCTTTGTCCCTGCTATATTTTTGCTACTACTTTCTTTGACTGAAATGGTATATACGTTAAAGTGGCCATTAATCAAAAGGCAAAGCAGCAGTTTGCTTGCTCTGTTGCTCTCAATCTATGTGGGCAGAGGGACTTCAGTACAGACGTGGTTCTTGGCTCCCGAGGGAATCTCTGGTTTGTCATGGCCAGTGGTCTAATTCACTTACATACCAAATGGTTTAGTGTTAAAAACTTATCTCAGGCTTAAAATGAGATTTGGAGAACATGACAGTATTCAATTTATTTACTATGCTGGTCTGTCAACTATCCTTGAGCTAACAATTTCTACTAAAGAAATTCTCTACTGCGCTGACTTCAGCCTGTGCATAATGAGCTCTGCTTCTAATGCTGCCACCTGTTCTTGTCTGCATACGCACTGGTGGCATGTTCAGGGCTGGGGATCATTTGCTTACAGAAGAGAGAAAAAATTCTAGTTGATTCCCACATATGTACTTTTGAGACATTTTGCAAAAAGAATATTGGAAGCTATTAATGTTGCTTCTGAACACTTAGGGTGAAATCCTGACTCTGAAGAAGTAAATAGGAGTTTTGTTGAATTTGGTGCAGCGAGCTGTGATTTCAGTGTGGACAGAGTCCTTTGCTGACAGCTTGTGCAAGTTCTGTCTTGGCACCAGGAATGCTTGCAATGCTTTCTTCTGTGGTGTGGTAGTGTGGAGGGAGGTAGCTGTGATGGTCCAGGAATTATGTGAGAGGCACGGATTTTTTTAGGGTGATGTCTTTTGTTGGGTAGGATAAAGTTAGACAAGTTCTGAATGCAAAGCCTCATTCATCAGGTCTGAGTCCTAACCATGCATTTGGTCCAATAAAAGATATCACCCCTGGAAAATCCTTGCCTCTTACAGACTGCTACGGTATCATCTGAAAGCCCATTTCACTGATGTAACCAAGTTCCTTACACACAGGATGTGGCTCAAAATGCAACCTGACAGCTATGTGAAGCCAGAATTTAATACCAGGAAAGCTGACATTAGAAGCTCCATGGGAAATGGAGAGCGTGGGAAAGGGAAGAGAGCAAAGTTACTGTTGCATTTAACACAAGAATTAAGCTTACATGGTAACTTTTCATTCCATTCAATTTTCCATGTTCAAACCAGCCACTTGGAATGGACTAATGTTGTTGGACCCCTGAAGAGCCAAGCAACAGCCACGGGGTCCCTGAATATAGCTACTGATGTCCAAAGAGCTGGATTCTCCTGCCAGCTGGTGTGGCTTTGCAGGCAGCCATGATATAAGAGGAGCACAGGAAAAATGTGCGCCAGGTACACATAATGCACGTTACAAACTGTCTTTGACAAAAGTCCTTTTGCCCAAGGCTGGTTTTTCCGTGCGCGAAGTATAAGATTGCCTGTCTCGTTAGATAACCAGATTTTTTTAAATTTCCAGTCTACTATGCTCATGATAAATTGGATGACTTCATCAACGTTATAAACACCCATCTGCAGCCTCTGTTTATGCAGATCCGGAAAGGAATATCTGAAGACGACGGGAGAGCCCATTACGCGCTGGTGAGTACGTGATGTGCTGCCATCTTGTGGGCTTTGCATCTAACCAGAAGTTCCTGCTCACAACACGCCACATTTCAAAGGTGCACCAGGGAGGGGGGAGAGTTACCTGATTATTGGACGTAAAATTAATTATTGTGGGGAACAGGCCAATGAAAAATGCACATTCATCCTTCCATTTTACATTAGTAGCTCCTGTGGGCAGGGACCACAATCTTGCCAGCTTGGAACAAATATAACTTATAATTTCTCTCCAGGCTCCAGATGCCATCTTTGGCTGCCATGCAGTTGGAGTTATCTATAGAACTGCTGTAACAAAAGATTATAATAGGAATACTATTTAGAGCAAACATACAGACTCTTACAAATAAGGGATGTATCTGCCAGCAGGTTTCTCACACTTAGCACTGTCTTGTTTTCTTTTTGCTGGGCTCCTCCAATCTGATGCTGACAGCTGCTATAGGATCTACATGTAGAACAGGGAAGTGGGAGGATAAACTGTCAACACGATAGGTGCGTGGGAATGGAACATGGCAGCAAGGACTGTATTAGTGTCTGATGTATTTTGCATAAATATTGTTTAAGATCTGGTGCTGAAAGACAATTTTTAAAGGAACCTTTCATTTTCAAGAGAGCTTCCAGTTGGAAAGCTCCCAGAGTTCTCCAGCATGGGTGGTTTGCTTCTGCTAATCAAAAATCCTTCCCGTGGAAAAGATCAGATAAGAAATAATTTACAAATAATGGCCCTGCAGGTTCTGGATTGTAAGCAGCAGGTGGAAAGCACTGCTTGGTGATTTCATGGGGTGGGGAATCCCTGTGATCTTTGTCAATGTCTGTACCTTTCTCTGCTTCCTTTCCAATCTGTAAAATGGAGCTAATGATGCATAATGGTGGAAGGTACAAAAGGACTATAAATGATTAGTTGTGGTTTGCCATACTGCAGTAAGGCTGTCTGCTGGGCATAAAAAATCATTATTAATCATTTATCATTACAGTCCAGTACAGTGCGTTTGGAGTGCTGCTGTACTGTATCTCACAGCCTCTCACCTCCCTGCAGAATCTAACCCGTCACCTCAAACACTGGCTCAGCATGCAGGACAAGTTCACTTCAGTTCGCACACGTACATCAGAGCCAGCACTCGGAGAGGCCTGTGGCCGGAATACAGAGAACAGTTCAGGCCAGGACTGAGGTGCACTGGCAGGGCAGGGGTGGGCACCGCAGGCTAGAGCAGGAGAGGTGATCCAAGGGCAGCACAGAGAGGGGCCTTTACCATAAAAAGTCTTGCCATCTTGAAGGAACAGCCTTCTCCACATAGCTGTAGCAAGTGACTGTGTGAGACAGCATTTTGAACCAGGAACATGTTGCTTTGTTCCGATGTAAATTCAAAGGCAGCTTTACTTTATTGTAACTTTTTTTAATAGGTTAATCTGGCGGAAACTGAAATAACTAAAATGGCATCTGACTATGCAGAAAATGAGTTGGAATTGTTCAGAAAAACTGTAAGTATGTCATCTCATTAGCAAATCAGACTATTGGGGAAAAGGTGTCCTCTTTAAAATAAAAAGAATTGTCCCTGACATCCTGAAGTATCAGCTGCCATTTTGTCTTAGTTTAAAATGGTTAATTGCACCATAAATCAAGTGGAAAAACAGTGTGGGATAAACCCATACCCTGTTGGGCATAAGTTACTGTTGAATCAAAATCACCTGTGAAGGAGCGCTTCTTAGGGCTAGAAAATCGGCAGACCTGCTTTAGTTTAATAATTGTCTTTGTTCAGCAGCTCTTTCTCCCAGCATTCCCAGCAATGACTGCTGAGTCCTGTCTGGGGAGAGAAGCACCCTCATCATAATTGGTTTCAGGACCCCCTTAACCTACATTAGATTTTGACATGAAGAACCTAGTGCTTAGATTTGAAGCTTTCTGTGAAGTGGATATTATATTTTTGCTGGTTTAGCCAATGAATTCTTTGCAATAATAGGCAGCATTGCGAATTGCTATCTAAAAATAATGGCTTGCAGCCCGAGCACTTCCCAGAGTTCCAGATCCATTCTCTGGACTCAGGATATGCAGTGTCCAGCGTCGCCTGGATTGTCTTTACCACAAGCTGTAATGAGAGTTCAGCATCTTGTGCTTTTGGCTGGCTTCTTGCTGTAATGTTTTGTTCTGTTCATAGAGTGTTTGGTGTGGTGTCCGTGCCCAACTGGGGATTGTTTAACTTTTTGGAGGTTTGACATTAAAATGATAGGTGTTTGTTATAGCCAGCTGAGGGCTGACATGTTGCTTGCCTTCAAGAAGATCCTCACTTGTATAATCGTGACATTTGTTCAAGCCCTGTCGGCGCCCCACACCCTGTCCACGCTGACAGCTTCCCGAATTGTTCCATGGCAGGTCTAGGACTTGTGCCACTTCCCTGTTGTGGCAGCGGGGCACAGGCTGCTGCCATTGTCGTCTAGAGCTGTGCAAAGCGCAGTGGTCACAAATGTCCACGCCCTTCCTACACTAGTGCTCCCGGCAGGATCCACACTGCTCTCCTCCTGCCTGGCTAATTTCCAAACACTGACACTATTCACAGAGGTGAAGAAAGTCGATTGCATTCAGCTGTACTGCAGAGGCCAGCGGGACTGGTGACCTTCCAGTGCAGATTCTTCTCTGATGTGGAAGGTGCACGACAGATTCGTCTCCACTACAGTATGTTTAGGGGGTCTTTGAATGCTGCTTCCTAAAGGCTTATTTCACGGAGTCCTGTTTGTGGAACTGTCTTCCCAGACAAGTTAGTTTGTTTAGTTTCCTGATTTGAGTTTTGACACTTGTGACTTTTATGTGCACTAACAGGATGTTGGGTTTTTTTTTTACATATTTAAGTTATGTGCTGATTTTTTTCCCCATATCAATACATTTTTATTTCTGTAGATGGATCTGATTATCTGCTCAGAAAATGGCTTTGCATCTTCCACAAACATTCTGAACCTTGTTGACCAACTTAAAACAAAGAAAATGAAGAAAAAGGATGCAGAGCAAGTGCTGAAAAACTTGGTGCAGGATAAGTGGCTTTCTGAGGTAACTGTTTGATTGCATAGAGGATGCATTTCAATGGTTTTGACTGTTCTTTTCTTATGAGTTCAACAGCTGAAAGTGGATCTCTGCTCTAAAGAATGACTGACATGGTATTGTGTGGGTCTGCATTCGTCTCTGTACAAGCCAAGACTGTTCCTTGTGACTGGCAGCACCGCAGGCTGTCTAAGTTTTGAGATCCAGGCAGAGCTCTTTTCCAGTATGTTCACCCAGTAGAAGACATTGCAAGCCAGTACTCCCCGTTACACTGCAAATTGCAACATACGGGTATAACCGAGTAAAACTGGGAAATATGCTGAGCCACTCCCACACTCCCTGTGCACGGGGTACTGCACGTATGTTGCTCTTGACTGCGGGACTGAAAGACTGAGTTCCAGCTTGTCACTAGCCCCAGCTGAGAGCAGACGGAGCAGTGGTTCCGCCCTCACGTTGGTCTGCAGAGCTGAACTGTACACGGATGTTGTGCCCCTCTTGCTTCTGGAGCCACTGCACCTTCAATTTCTCGACTGTCCTCAACCCCAGGCTTCGTTGTGCTGGGACAGTTGGAGAGGTTCCCAAAGACAAAAAAAAAAAGGATGATCGTGTGCCTGACTTTTACAATCTCAGGGAGCCTTACTTATGCTTTTGAAAAATCTCTCCTCCTTTATCCCTTCGTGTTGGGAGGAAACCTGGCCTATAATGTATATAAAAAATTGTTGCCAGATTTCCTCCCATATTTCTTAGTATCTTAATGCTGTGGTAAAGGAAACCCCGCTTGAAAAAGTACCTAGTACAGAGCCCTACCTTAAGTTTAGAGTGGCCTAACACACAAGAGTGGGCCTCTTCTGGGGTCTTTGGATGAGCACATATTCTGGGGACTCTTAAGCTCTGGGGGCCATGTATGTTAGAGATGATGCAGCTTTTTCCTGATGGTTTATGCATATTAGATGCTACCATTTGAGCAGACTTTGGGCAGTACCCAACTGGTCACTACAGGTGCCTGGAAATAAGGGGATGCCAAAATTATGCTAGAAGGTGGAGTGAGTTCATGAAAAGGGAAAGTGAATTGTAAGTCTTGTGTGCTGTTGTTGTGTCCTTAGAGAGAAGGGGAGTACACTTTGCACACTCGCTGCATAATGGAGATGGAGCAGTACATACTTAACAACTACCAAGACATGGCAAGAAAGTGCAACATCTGTCACAGCCTTGCCATTCAGGTAACAAATCTGACTGGGCTTCCTTGTTAGGCATCCTGCACATTCTTAGCTAAAGCATGTATTTTTCTTGCTGAGCATTTTTCCTGTTTAAGCTTCTAGAATTGCTGTTGCAACTTAGTGATAGAGTCCGCGGTCTATAAGTACCTATGCTGACACAGTGATATTTTTGTTGCTGTTTTCTATCATTGGCAAGACACTGTTTGAACTTGGTGAAAGTGAGCTCACCCAGCAAGATGCCTGCATCCACTACACTGATTTATTTCCCAAAGCTGGATGAGGCTGGAGTTAACCTTTCTTACCCTTAAATGGGCAAAAGTCGTCAGTTGTTCCCAGCCTCTGTAAATGGTAGTTCTCAGGCTGGTGCATGCAGCTGTCTTGCTTGTGGTGGAAATGCTGGAGTTGATTGTCCCAGGGCATAAGTACACTTGCTCCACAAACTGCTTGGAGATGGCGTGCAGTGGCACCCCACAAGCATGCAATCAAGCTTTCTGTGATAAGTGGCTGGGGCCCAGCTTCCTTTTTTTCACAGCTGCCAAGCCCCTGCTAGTCTGTGCCCACCTCCTGCAGCTACTGCTCCTCTCCCAGGCCAGTCTGTCCCAGGCACATGCCCCAACGCCCTGTGGCTCTCAAGTCCTTACATGATTCTTTCACCCCAAGAAATGTCCCTCTCTGAGCCTCCACGTGGCTTTTTCCCTGTTGTGCTTGCCAGCTTCTGCTTGCAGGTGTTCTCCAGCTGGAAGCTAAAGCTCTTCTGTTTTGGAGGAAAGACTGATCTTCAGCTCTTTCCAAAGACTGTGCTATGCAATACTGAGGGAGACTAAAAAAGATTTCTGATTTCAGAGTCAAGTGTGTGAAACCTGTGGCATTGGAATGCACTTACCTTGTGTTGGAAAATATTTCAAAGCTCAGACTGAGCCACGCTGTCCCCAATGCAATGATTTCTGGCCTCATGAAATTCCAGGTATCAAGCTACTCATTTGAAAATTTTGTACAATAACACTGGAGTGGACTGTGGTATTTGATAGCAGTGTTAGGTGACAGTACTCATGATGAAGTGTCTGTGGTTGAAGGTTCGTACTGACTAGAAACTTTAAAAGCTTCAGCAAGTGGCTGTTCCTTAGGCAACTGTAAGGGTCAGGGCTGTGCCCTGTCCTCACTAATGGCCAGGGCCTCACATCCCCTGCTGCTGGCAGCATGTTACATGGAAAAGATCTTGAATGATGTAAAAAGAACTGGCAGGATCCCTCTGTTTAACCAATGAAACAGAACCACGAGCAGCTAAGCACCAGCATATTTCCAAGCATTTGAGAGTTTGGAGGTCACACAAGGGCATTGTCAGGGAAACATTCAAGTCTACAACAATCTACCTTTTTGCTGACTAACTTTGCAGTTTATTTTTCTCAACAGAGATAAATTGGACAGATTCCCAGCTGCCCTCCAACTCCCCTGGGGAGAGAAGGAGAGCCTCATCCTCAAGAACAAGGCGGCGTTAGAAAGAGCAGCTATTCAGTTTTAGCATGAAGATGTCATTCTGCAAGCGGGAATGCCTGTGGGACAAAAGCAGCTGCTGCTTTATAGATTTTATTCTGTAAAAAACCTTGCCAGTGTGAAAATAAAACTTCTACTTTGGCCTCCCTGCTCCACGGTCCAGCTTGGTGCCAGCACCACTGCAGTTAGTGCAGCTCTCTTGTTAAGCACCCATAGCCACATGGCTGTTGGTGAGGGCCCTGTGTCTGGGGAAGAGCAGAAGACTGGACTGCTGGAGGCTGAGTTCTCTTAGCCTGAATGGAGCCTTGTCCAGCCAAGTGGCGTGGACCTGCTGCAGCATGTTCTGTGCAAATCCCCCAAGCTGGGCTCCACGCTTATGCTGCGCACACGCTGTAACTGTTTGGAAGTAGGTGAAGTCCATGCACTTTGTTGGTGAAATGCTGTCTATGCCCCTGACAGGACTAGTGCATCTTACTTGTGAATTCCAGCCCTTCACTCCCAGCCTCCCTATTTCCTGCACTCTTTAACTGCTACAAACCTGACAGAGGTGGCACCAGGTGCACAGCTTGAGGTTTCTCAAGGTTTAGGAACTTGTTTTAAGTCTTTTTTTTTTTTTCTTAATCCCTCAATGTCCTGATAGTTTCTGGTTATAATAAATTGCAAGGCATGCACTTTTGCTGTATCTTCTCTTCTTTGATCTTAACCTTCCTGCAGCCTTACAGCTTCTCGGGGAAGAGGCACGTGCAGGTGGTCTTCTCATCTCAGTGTGCAGGGACTGGAAGTTGGTTACTGCTCCTTCTCTTACATTTTTTTCACATAATACCCCAGAAATTGGTGCAGGGTGGAAGTAGGTGTGTAATGGGAAAACTCCAGAAGGAAGAACAACCCCAGGCTCCCTCACTGATTCAGCATAGTTTCATAGTTGGTTGGGTCGGAAGGGACCTGAGGAGATTATCTAGTCCGACCCCCTGCCATGGGCAGGAAGAGTACTGGGGTCAAGTGACCCTGGTCAGCTGTTCATCAAGCCTCCTTTTAAAGACCCCCAGGGTAGGAGCCAGCACCGCTTCTTTTGGACGTTGGTACCAGGTCCTAGCTGCCCTGACAGTGAAATAGCGCTTCCTAATGTCTAGCCTGAAACTACCCTCTGCCAGCTTGTGTCTGTTGTTTCTTGCAACTCCCGGGATTGCTTGGGGGAACAGGGACTCTCCCAATGCCTGCTGGTCCCCCCCTGACTAGTTTGTAGACTGCCACCAGGTCCCCCCTCAGCCTTCTCTTGTGGAGGCTGAACAGGTTCAGGTCTCATAGCCTTTTCTCATAGGGCCTGCCCTGCTGCCCCTGACCATACGGGTGGCCGCCTCTGATCCCTCTCCATGCTGGCCACATCCCTCCTGAAGTGCGGCGCCCAGACCTGGACGCAGTACTCCACCTGCGGCCTGACCAGTGCTGCGTAGAGGGGGAGGATCACCCCCTTGGGCCTGCTCGAGATGCATCTGTGGATGCACGACAAGGTACGGTTGGCCTTCCTGACCGTGTCCCCACACTGTCGGCCCATGTTCATTGTGGCATCAATAATGACTCCAAGATCCTTTTCTGTCTCAACACTGGCAAGAAGGGAGTTCCCCAGCCTGCAGGTCTGCTGTTGGTTCTTCCCCCCCAGGTGCAGTATCCTGCACTTGTCAGTGTTGAAACCCATCCTGTTCTCATCCGCCCACCCCTGTAACCTGTCTGGATCCGCTTGCAGCCTGTTCCTTCCTACTAGCGTGCCCACTTCCCCCCACATCTTAGTGTCACCTGTGAACTTGAACAGGGTGCTTTTTACCCCCTCGCCCAAGTCACTGATGAAGATGTTGAACAGTGCAGGCCTGAGGACCGAGCCCTGGGGGACCCCACAGCCCTCCAGGTCAAATAAGACCTGTCCACTACCACTCTCTGGGTGCGGCCCTCCAGCCAGTTAGTGACTCATCTGACCGTGTAGGCATCAACACCGCTGTCTCCTAGTTTCTTCAGAGATCATGCTGAAATGTCATTTTAAGCAAACATGCACTTCAGGTTTGTGTAACAGAGTAATAACCAGACTTCTGTGATCGTTAGTAGTATCAGAGCTTTAATCAAGAAAATTATATCTTCAGTCCATAGTCCACCATCCACTCCTTGAGCAAACGGGATTTTTGTTATATCAACAGAGGAGAGGTGACTGAAGTGCTCATATTTTAAATACGAATACTTTTCCTGTGGCTATATTTAAAAATCATATTAAAATTGTCTGTTTTTCTTGATACTGGTGCAGATGGGGACACGATCTTACAGGTCTCTTCCAGCCCTACTATTCTATGAACTGCAATAGAGACAGTGTTCACTAGGAAACCATCCATTACCATGTGAGGAATATAATCCATTTTTCATAGATAGGAAAAGCATTAGTGGTGCAGCTGAGCTGTAACTGCATTGTAGCTGACAATGGACTGTACTTCCAGCCTTCCTAGAAGTAGTTTTTACTGCACGGAGAAATGTCACCTTGTTTTAGGTTGGCAAGTCTCTTATTTACTGAGGTTTTGTAGAAATGTGTTGTCCATCATAGTCAAAGCCAGGGCTATTCTTAAATCCACACACAGGGGTAAACTTAACTTAGTCACATGCTCCTTTCTTTCCACTCTGGGAAATGCGTGTTTGATGCCCGTATATAGTCTTGTTTTCACTGAATATACATAGGAGGGGATGATCCGATACATGCTCTTTATTAGGAATCTGTACTAGAAACATCCACAAAACAAACAGGCTGTTGTAGCTGCTGCTTTTGTTTTTTTAATCTAGATGTCTCACCGAGCCTGAAGCAAGAAGCGCGGGTTTCTACTTCAGCTCTATGCTGTGGGCAGAAAACAAGAACAATTTCTTCCAAAAGCCCTCTTTTGAAAGAGAATGGTCTTCCTACGTAAGCATGCAGCAGGCTGTACTTTTCCTTACCTTACTTTCGAGAGTCTATGCCCCCCCCCCAGTCACAGTTACGACCACCAGAAGCTGACAGAGAAGCTGATATCGAGGGATCGTACGTAGTGCCAATATTTAACTGGAATAAACAGAATCTGTCCCGGTGTCAGAATACAAGACTGAAAGGCAGCCTTTTCAAACCTGGGGAACTTAACTAGATCGGGATCTTCCACATCCACCTACAAAAACCAATACAATTTGTTTTAATCTCCAAAGATAGCCTGGGGATTTAAGTAGGAAGAATCAGGCTTTAGATTTCAGATAGCTATTTACCTGGCTGGTGTTGTGGAGCATTTGGCTTTCATGTGGATACAGGTTTTCCGATTCTTGTGGAGAATACAGACGGATATATTTTCTTCCAATTACCTACGGGTGTTAGGATATAAATGTTCCATCTGTCATTAGTCTGTACGTTACCTGCTGAAATAAGGCCTAACTTCAGTTAATTAGTACTCAAACTAACAGACTTCCCCTCAGGGCCATGACAAGCAGTTAACGGTAAAATACAGCTGCACAACGGGTCAAGATTTTGGTACCGAGGAACAAGTACTCCCCATAATGAACTAAAAGAGATCAAACAAAGCGGATGCTAAACAGGTAAAAGTCCAAACTGGCAGGGAAATGCTTTTAGGGGAGGGGAGAGAAAAGCTCTTCCTCTTTGAATTCAGCGTTGTGACACCCAGTCTCTACAGTGCTGTTGAACCAGGCAGTCATGTCAGCAAGAGAGTGAATTAAAGCATCAAGTCTAGCACTGCTCCAGTCCCCAGGCAGGACATTCAAGACACCAGCCAGGGGACTTCAATGCATCAACAAGCTTGCTGGTACTCCATAAGGTCTCTGCTTTCCATCACCATCAAATTTGTTCTCTCTGTTGTAATCTTCAGCTGGGAGAGAAAAATTCAGGTGGCAGCTGGAATGACTGACCTGAACTTCTCGAAGTGGAAGCCAATTTAGGCAATACCATCACTTAGCCTACTGCTTAATTTAAGTTGCGCCGATTCCCGAGCTCTCTGCTGGCAATAGAAATTCCCCGTGCTTATATGCGCAGGAGGAAGTGATCGGTCCTGTTGATGCCAGGATGCCCTAGACAGTCATGAGTAACGCTGAATTAGGATTGCACCCACCCCACCTGAATCTGTTGTGCTGATAAAAATAAGAGCAAGACTGCCATTCTGCCTGATCGACAGCTGACAACGCCCTAGACTGACACTGTGGGAACCACCCCAAAAAACTCCCTGTGTCCCCACGCTCTCTGCTCCGACTGCCCCGTTTCTGCTGCGCGCAGCTGCTTGATGCCTCCATTTCCCCATGTGTCAGCAGGGGCAAGAGGACTTCTCCACCTCAGAGGGGTTATGGTGACCGCCACACAGCTTGGCAAGTGATGTTCCCGTTTAGTCCAGCATGAAAGCAAACTACTGAGGCTGCTTAGTCACAGTACTACTGCTGGTTTCCTGGATTTTCCTTTTTTAGAACAAGCCTGAATCTATTTTTGCTATAGGGACTAATATTTCCCCTAGCAAATATTGGGAACACTGGGTTAACACTGGGGTGTTAACTCCTTTTGTTCACCTCCCTCAGCCTTTGCACCAGCAACTGAGGACTCTTCCTTTTTGGGGCAGAATCACAGAAAATCAGGTTTGGAAGGGACCTCAGGAGGTCACATCTAGTTCAAGCCCCTACTCAAAGCAGGACCAGCCCCAACTACAGCATCGCAGCCAGGGCTATGTCAAGCTGGGTCTTAAAACCCCCCAAGGATGGAGACTTCCCCCACCGCTCTGGGGAGGAGCCTGTTCCAGTGTTTTATTACCCTCCTCGTGAGTTTTTCCTGATATCCAACCTCAACTTCCCTTGCTGCAACGTGAGCCCATTGCTCCTTGCTCTGTCATCTGCCCCCACTGAGACCAGTCCTGCTCCATCCTCTTTGCAGCCCCCCTGCAGGGAGGTGAAGGCTGCTATCAAATCCCCCTCGGTCTTCTCTTCTCCAGACTAAACAAGCCCAGTTCCCTCAGCCTCTCCTCACCAGTCATATCCCCCAGTTCCCAAACCATTTTTGTTGCCCTCCGCTGGACTCTCCAATTTGTCCACATGCTTCCTGTAATGGGGGGCCCAAAACAGGACATAGGACTCCAGATTTGGCCTCATGGGTAGAAGGGCACACGGCTGACGGGAGCAGGGACAGGCTTGTATCATCCCCTCAAAGACAGATAATAGCCTTTCATGCAGAAAAATAGCAAGAAACCTTAGGTAGGAGGCAGCAGCTGTTCACCTGCATGACAATTCAAGAGTCATTTGGGCAGGTTAAGTGGTAAAGGATGAGATCTCCAGCTGAAAGTGCAGGGTGCCAGGGGACCAGGACAACGGGGCTGACCCCCCATACAAACACACATGAACAGCTCAGGCTTCAGGTTAATGGCCCAGGTAGAAGACACACGGGAGACTGCAATAGCTGCGTTTGACTTTGAATACAAACCTCAGTCTGTGCTCAGAGTCCAAAGGGAGCAATTTGGAGGTCTCCAGCCAATAAGGAACTCACTGCTGAACATTTCAGAGTGTGCACAGTTTGGCTGGGAGCGTTTCTGTACGTTTGTGTAGTACCTAGAGATTGTAATCAGTCTTGTGACGTAGCGTGCTGCGTCCTACTAACTTGGTCATGGTGAGAATATGTAACGGAGATTAAAAGGTATGTGCAAAGGGCTAATTCATCAGATAATTAAGGACATGGAATGTGCTCCTGGGCTATACACCTGCCCACGGTTTTGTCACACATTGGCTAGGCGCAAGGTTAATGCTGTCGGTAGAAATCTGAAAAGAATGGGCCCCTCCTGTCCCAGACTCCCTCTCTTCCTTTGCAAAAATGACGACTTTTCTGCATCTCAGTTCCTCACCTGTAACATGGGAATAATTGCTACTTCCCTACTTCACTGGGAGAAGGCCAAGAACATCAGTGTATTAAATGTCTGTCATGGGCCCATGCAAAGATGCAAGGGTGATGAACGTAATGGAAAAACCACAAAATGTTTGCAAGAGCTCTTCTGATGTCTCAGTCAAGTCTGGGGTTGCCCTTGTATCCAGCAGTTATGAACAGTATTGTTAAAGTAACAGTGGGGTTAGACAGTTGTGAGGGTAGAGTACAGACCTGGACTAAGAAATTTTGCTGTGGATCTTGATGAAGAGGCGAGATGGTTCCTTCTGGGCCAAACCAGGCATTAATGGTGATGTGGTCTTCTTCCCCTTCCCCCAGGCAGCAATAATCAGGGATGTTAATATCCTCCTTCAATTCTGGGATCTACTAGCAGTAATCAAAAACAGTACACGCACATTAAAGGGTACCTATGTTAGCCCAGGCAGGACAATTCACAGGGTAGGACACACCTGGATGACATGTGCAGAGCAAGTGATCAGGACCTAGCCAAAGGAGCGTACCTGGCACTCAAACCAGTATAATATAGGCAGCAGATACAAGCTGGAGTAAAGTTATAAACCAGCTGGTGAATAAACCATAAAGGTTGGATTGTCCAAAAGGGCCAGGGAAGGCCACTGAGGAGCTGCAGGAAATGTCACCCCGCTGCTGAAATTTAAAGCCAGACATCTGTAGGGACTTTTTCTTTTTTTAGGTTCTGCAAGGAAATTTTTGCTTTCTGCACTCAAACTTAAAACCTAGCATCACATCCTCATGAAAGTTCAAGCAATTCACTAATAATATATGATATTAGAGTACTGATCTAGTTCTTTAATACATTTTTTTGGATCTAAATAGATGTGATATAACAAAATAAAATTAGTGTATTTAATCCACTCTTTCAAAAAAGAAATTGCCATTCTTTCTTGCTGTCTTCTACCCATAGCGGTGACTGGCTTGCTTGTTTTTCCTGCTGTGTCTAGGTTTGCATACCGTGCCCATCCCTGTAACAGCACTGGAATGCCTCCGAATCCTTAACCAAGGGAGGCCGATGGTTTACTTTTTCTCCCCAACCTTTACAGGCAGTTAAATATTTCTACTTCTATTGCTTTCTCCTCCTTTTCCTGTTCCCTCAGCTGCCCTGCTGAATCAGTGCTAGATGCATTTCTGCTCAAAAGACTTGCTTGCTTATTATTTCTACCCACAGGCCCCACGGAGGATCAAAGCCTGTGCTTCTGGGCACTGTACAGACGCACCAACCGCCCCTGCCAGAAGCGGTCTGTTGGCAGAGGCAGGACAAGGCGAGGGACAACAAAATGGGGGAGGCAGAGGAAGAATTTCAAGAAGGAATCAGGCAGCCCTTGACCTTCCTTCTGATCCCTCATGTCGACCCAACCTACTCCCCCACTGAACTGGTGTGAAAGCTCAGCGGTTACTACACACAGAGAGTGGAGACAGGCAGAGGGTGCAGTTGTCGCAGTTCCAGAAAGAGACTCACCTGTCTCGCTGCAGCGACAGCGCTCAGGGAGCTCTGATCAACAGCACAAAACGGACAATCCTTGGCTGCACATCACAGGACAGTTTGTGACCATTCTGCTCTGCTGCCTTGCCTCTCTGAGAGCCACGAAAGATAGCTGTGCACAGGATGGTCATGCCAATAGTGTCACTATGCAACACAACTGCATCACATTACCAGCTCCATTTATTTAAATACAAAGGAGGTAGCGGGTGAGAAAATGCCTGTTTGTCAGCTGTGGAGCAGCTGAGCTAGTCTCCAAGGAAGACTGGTGTCTGTCCAAATCTCATTCTGACAGATTTATTTCCTAGGAGCAGTGCTGCTGTCCAGCTTGTGCAAGCAAGTGACATTACATGGTGCCAAGACACTGTAGGCCAAATCTCCCCGCTGCCTAGGAGAAGCCGCACACTAGCCAGAGCAGAATAAAAACAGGCAGAAGCCCCAAGTCACAGCACAGGGGACAAACACTGAAACGCTGGACAACATGCAGCGAACAGAGTCCACATTGTGATCGAGACCCCAGGCAGGACCCACTGCTGCAGGGGAAAAAAGCAACGGTGGCCAGTTGAATATCCATGCTTAGATTTACCTGATCAAACAGCTGGTGCTGGGCAAGGTAGCCAACGTTGTTCTGGAAAGGCGACGAGAGAGAACAAAAAGGAATGAGTTCTGATTCAGAGCCCGGGCTCCCCGTCACTTCCACCTAAGGTCAATTTCTGACATCTGTTATTTCAAAACACTAGACTCAACCCGCTCCTTGCCCGCTTCGGCCGGAAGCAGGTCCCTTTCACTCGGGCACAGGGCAAGACTACGCTGTGCACGCACGGTTGTGCGGACAGACCTGAGCTGATCAGGGACTGCAGACAGAGGCAGGGGCCAATATACCATAAGAAGAAGCCAGGTAAGTTTGCCCACACACAACTTTCTGCTCCTGCAGCCAGGCAGCACCCTGCGCCCACGCCAGCAGGCTCGGGTGCCTCTACACCACTGTGCAGTCTGCAACGCAAATATACCTCAATATAATCCTCCAACAAGAAGGCGAAGGAACCAGGAAGCGTCTCAGCTGACATCCACAGTACAGACTGCTGTGTCACCAGGCAGCTCTCGTCTCTTCGCTGCCCATGACTGACATGCAGTAATACTGGAGCTTATAGTCTTAGAACTCATAAAGCCCTACACATCCACCGGAGGAATAATACTGCTGGCTATGGGGTTGGCCTGATGCTCCTGACCTGCAGAAGACTCCGCTGTTTCAGGGTCAGGCCACATAAAAACAGACGCTAGCTAGGGCAAAGAAAAATCCAAATGATCTTTCAATAGGAGAACATCCCCATTTTGCCTGCAACAGCACCAGAGCTACGCAGGAGAGCTGAGGTCTCTACAACTGCATGGCTATCTTTTTCATAACAACCCTAACGGTGGTGAGGAGAAGAGTTTGGTTTCTAGTCACACCAGCATCTCTGTTGCAGAGATGCAAATGCATGCACACACAGAAAGCAGGTCCACTGTAGAGACTGCAATGAATATTCATCGCATGAGTCTCCTGACTGACTCTGTGCAATGTTCAAAACCACCCGAGCTGTAAATCCCCCCATGGGCAGCCCCACTCCACCCCTTACAGAGGCAGAGTAACAGGCATGTGTAGCACAGTACTCCCCAGCACACGACTGGTGTTATGTCTGGCTCTTGGAAAATCTCCCCAACCTTCTGATGCTGCACGTTCAGGCCTGAACAAGGAGAAAGCAGTCACGGCTGCAATCAGCCTGAAAATGTGACTGGCACAGTAATTCATAGACCTGTATATAAACCCGAAGCTCGCTCAAGACCCCCTACGAGCAGCTACCGGTTCTAATAAGCTCTGGCCAGACCACCAAGGGAGAAATCCTTCAGTCCATTAGGACACTGCCGCGTTTGTGGAGATAAAGCCACGTGGAAACAACAGACCTTGTTCACAATATACTGACTGATGAAGTCATCCACAGTCATGAGTTCCTGAGACCATTCTTCATCTGTGTATCGCAAACCTAGCTCCACGGGGACTGTGCGCCACCCAGCAATTTCACGGAGGTAATCCACACTGGAACAAAGCAGGTTCATTACATTTAGATTTCATTTAACATCCTTGTTTTTATCGAGTTTAAATGTAGATAGGAAATCAGTTTTCTGAGGGGGGTTTATGCAGTGCTAATGTTCAACGCACAAGGCAGCTACCTTGGATAGTTTAACCCCTTAGGAGGAATACGGGAACATCCCGACTATTCCAGCAGCAGGCAACCGTGAAAGGCCTGTGCCCCCAGCAAGGCTAAAGACGCAGACAGCAAGGGCACACGCGGCCACACGGACCTGCACCAAAATGCTACGAGCTTTCTTCATTTTTTAAAAATGTGTTGCCAATTTAGAAGAGCTGGTCTGAACAACGAGCAGCCGTTTAGTCAACGGACGTGGCTTCTCCCTGTACTTGAGGAAACCATCCAGTTGCTGGTGTTTCATAAGTCCAAGGGGTTTGTGTTTTGCAAGTGTTACCCTGTGTATTCATCACGAACATCTTGCCATACAGACGCAATACTCAACATCTGAAAGTTTAGTTGTGAGTGGTCTGATGAGCTGCACGGTGTTACTTCTACCTTACAACTGGGAAAGTTTCACTGGATGTGGCTGCAACATTTGCATTTTTGAATGAAAAAAGTGGTTTCTAATACTACTTGTACATACAGCTTTGAAACTGAAATTCATGTCAAATATTAGTAAGTCATGTTCACAAGAACACCTAAATAAGTAACGGTCACGGATGCGGCTGAGAAAATTGAACCATACGCCCACCGAGTCCTCGGCGGTATACACGCAGCTCCCGTTTACAATTAAACACTAAACCACTAACATTTGCAGCAGGAAATTCCCTGCACTGGCTCCTGCAGGGATGGCCTGGATGCATAATCTGCTCCAACAGCCGATTTCTATATTCTGCGATTAGCAAAGCGTGAGCTATTAGGATGCAAGTTGCTAAACCGCATCTATTACGCTGGAGTCCTATTAGCAACGGGAAACTGAGCAAACAGCGTGGGAAGATGTTACTTCCCGCGTGCGTCGCTGGAGTTAGTGCCGCGCCACGCCGCGCTCCTCGGGGAGCCGGGCTGGAGCGACCCGGTCACAAACCGCACCTACTCCGGACGAGCTCGACTTGCTCACCTCCACTTCCTCATACACGGCCAGTGGTCAACAACCCCCTCCAACACCACGGGCTTTTGCGGGATGAAATGGCTCTCCCTGAAACGCTCCAGAGACGGGCAGCGGAGCCGCGGGACGGCAGGCTCCGACGCGAGGTCCGGGGCGTCGCTCCGCGTCCTCTGCAACGAGACCCCGGGTCAGCACCCGCCCGGGCGCGCGGACCAGGCGCCACGTGCGGCCCGCCAGCAGTGTACACGTCTAATATT